GTTCCTTATATGCTTTAGCCTCCAGTCCCCTAATCATCTTTGTTGCTCTTCTCTGTACTCTTTCTAAAGTCTCAACATCTTTTTTACATCGTGGTGACCAAAACTGGATGCAGTATTCCAAGTGTGGCCTTACTAAGGCATTGTAAAGTGGTATTAACACTTCACGTGATCTTGATTCTATCCCTCTGTTAATGCAGCCCAGCACTGTGTTGGCCTTTTTGGCAGCTGCTATTCTGCTCAAGAGGAAAGAGCTTGTTTTCAATTACAGTACATGCTGTTGGATTGCATCAGCTATCACATCAGTTAACAATTTGAAACTTGTAGGTAAGCAGATAATTGCCCTATAGTTGGCTGATGGTGCCCCTTTTGCTGGATCTTTCATTATCAGGTAGGTTTTTCCAGATGTTGTTAAATTGCTTGGCAATAAGTGGAGAGCAAAGCAGCAGATGTTTCAACCAAAAACCATACAACTCATCTTCACCCAGTGCTGAAAAATTAATGAACTTTGTCCTTTTCTTCACTATTTATGCTGTTGTTACAAGTTATTTCATTTCAGCTTTTTTTATTCTTATTCACTTTGTCACCCTCTACTTCCTACTTATCCACTTTATTCATATCCACTTGCTTTAACCAAGCTGCATTCTTGTTCATCAGGTGTTGACTGGTTCACTGCAGTCTCTCCATTGATGGATTGGTAGAAACTTTTGACTGAAATTAGAGATTTGACTTATAGTGTGCAATTCAAGCTTCATATCTGCTGATTTTTTTGGTTACAGCTGTTACAATATGAGTAACTTCCTTGATTTTCCTTGCTTCTAGGTGATTTTTCTTTATCGGGTATGTTTTGATCACTTATATCTGACCTTAGCATTCTGATCTTCCATTTGGGTTGTGCACCCTGCAGTTTGCTGCATAGGAAATACATTATCTATTTCAGCATTCTGCATCTTCATTCTTATGTTTATCTTTCAACATTCCTTTTTTACTAATTTTATGCAAATCATAGCTTCAATAAAAGGTGAAAGAACCAGCTTTAAGATGGACAATACTCTTCCTCTTTTTCAGATTCAGAAAAATGCGCCCCTTGTCCAGGAGATCAGCATCCAAATATCAGTCAAGATTGTTGTATTCCTAAGATTAAAACCTTCCTAAATTATAAAGGCTATCTAGGGGTCATCCTAATTTCCATTACCATGTTCCTGTCTTTGACAACAGCCTTTGTCTTGGGAATCTTCATTAAATTCCTAGACACTCCAATCATCAAAGCCAACAACAGAGACCTTTCCTACATCCTCCTGGTCTCCCTCCTGCTTTCCTTCTTCACTTCCTTCCTCTTCATTGGCCAGCCAAGGAGAGTCACCTGCCTTCTCCGACAGATAACCTTCAGCATCATCTTCTCAGTTGCCATTTCTTCTGTCTTGGCAAAAACGATCACGGTGGTGCTGGTTTTCTTGGCCACAAAACCAGGGAATAAACTCCAGAAATGGCTGGGGAAGAGCTTGGCCAACTCCATCATCCTTTCTTGCTCTGTTATCCAGATAGTCATTTGCAGCAGCTGGCTTGGCACTTCTCCCCCATTTCCTGACTTTGACTTGCACTCTCAGCCTGGAGAGATCATCCTGCAATGCAATGAAGGATCTGTCGCCATGTTTTACTGTGCTCTTGGCTACATGGGCTTCCTGGCTACCGTCTGTTTCACGGTAGCTTTCCTGGCCAGGAATCTACCTGGGGCCTTCAATGAAGCCAAGCTCATCACCTTCAGCATGCTGGTCTTCTGCAGCGTCTGGGTCTCCTTTGTGCCCACCTACCTGAGTACCAAAGGGAAATACATGGTGGCTGTGCAAGTCTTCTCTATCTTGGTCTCCAGTGCTGGTCTATTGGGCTGCATCTTCATCCCCAAGTGCTACATTATTATTTTGAGGCCAGACCTCAATACTAAGGAACAACTAATCGTGAAAGAGAAAAGAGAAAAGTGATTCTAATCAGTGCTTCTTGTATCATGTGTGCAGCAGAAGAACTCTTTTTCTTCCCCTAGTTCTTTCCCTTATCCCTATTCAATGGTTTGGACTGATTAAGAAATTCCTCAATTAAAATAACTTGTTTGCTTTTCTTCCCATCTGAAAGACATCTGAAATTGTTTATTACTTTTGTTTTCCTAGCCATTACTGTGCATTTTACACAGCTCACTAAGAAACTCTGTACCCCATGGACAAGAAGAGCTCTGAGAAAATCCATGGTTCAGCAGTTTCTCCAGTAGGATCCAAATTGGATGCCCATAATTGTCTATGGAGATTCTCAATCAATGAGGTCAAAAGTTACCTGGATTTTCTTTGGGTTTTTTTCCTTGAAAACATTTTGCTTCTCATCCAAGAAACTTCTTCAGTTCTGAAGAAATGGACAAGCTTCCTGGATGAGAAGCAAAATATTTTCAAGAAAAGAAACAAAAGAAAATCCAGTTAACTTTTGAAAAGCACCTTTGGGACGATGGCCAGAATTATAGAAAGAAGTAGAGTCACTGGGCAAAAGTTAGAATTTTGCAAAGACTGAAGGATGCCAGTCCAAGCTAATCTGAATCTCCACCTTGGGTAGACCAGCCCCAAAATGGCACTAAGGAAGAACGTGATATATACCCTTCAGAATTGTGCTTAATCACTGGATCTGATTCAGAGCTTAAACACTGAAGATACAAAAAAACTGATGGAATCTTACCCTTTTTATTTGCTCACTGAACTAAAACACTTTGTAAATTGTCCCAATTTGGTATGGAATCTGCTAGCATCTCAAGGTTGATGATTTTGGAGCAACCAATAGTGAATTTTGCTTTAGGTGAGATATTTTTTTTTCTTTAAGCAATAATAGAATCCTATGACGTGTATGTCCATTTCTCTGAAAATAACTAGTAAAAATACTATTAGCAAGCACTTAGTATTTGGGTTTTGCTTGGTGTTTGGTTCTGAACTTTAATTTTCATATTCATTTTCTGCCTTTTCTTTTATTAGCCCCTTTTGAAAATATCAGAGATAGGATAAAACACATTTCTTTCTTTGGTATATGTTACCCTGAAGAGTAAGAATTGGAAAAAGTCAGTCAGAACATGAGATGAGTATGTTCTCTCCAGCAATAATGGCATCCTTCACAGGGGTCCATATTTAATCATAGTAATGCCAAAAAGTCCATTCTTTTGGACTTAATTAATGAGGTCACACATATGTGTGTAAGAAGCAAAGAATACATCCAAGACTGCATTAACGGACGGATAGAATCAAAATCACCTATAATGTTAGTACCACTTTATAATGCTTTGGTAAGGCCACACTTGGAATACTGCATCCAGTTTTGATTGCCACAATATAAAAAAGATTTTTAGACTCTAGAAAGAGTGCAGAGAAAGCAACAAAGATCTTGTTGGAGAATATATCCCAGAATGATGTTGGGTAAGACATGGGTAAATCCCCTGAATGGCAAAAAGAAAGGACAGAATTTTCCAATACATCACATCTTCCCTGAAAATATATGCACATTGTGTCATCATTCTGCATTGAGGGAAAGAAATGTTCCTGAATTAATAATAATAATAATAATAATAATAATAATAATAATAATAATAATAATAATAATAATAATAATAATAATAATAATAATAATAATAATAATAATAATAATTTAATTTATATACCGCCCTTCTCC